TACGCCATTTACGCCTCCCTTCTCCCGCAGGTGTGCGACTCCCTAGGGGTGGGGATGGACCCCCCTGCGAATCCGGGACCCTGGGGGGACTACTCCTGCGACCCCCCCTGGCGCACCATCAACTCTTCCATCTTCGCCATGAAAGCCATAGACCCGAACCCGGATTTTATCTTACGGGGAGGGTACGTCAAGTGTATTCATGTTTGTTTGTCCGTCTGTCTGTCTGTATTGTCCGTCTGTCTTACGGGGAGGGTACGTCTGGTGTATTCATGTTTGTTTGTCCGTCTGTCTGTCTGTATTGTCCGTCTGTCTTACGGGGAGGGTACGTCTGGTGTATTCATGTTTGTTTGTCCGTCTGTCTGTCTGTATTGTCCGTCTGTCTTACGGGGAGGGTACGTCTGGTGTATTCATGTTTGTTTGTCCGTCTGACTGTCTGTACTATCCGTCTTTCAGTCAGTTTTTGTTTGTTTGTTTGTTTGTTTGTCGGTTGGTTGGTTACCTGGTTGGTTGGTTGTCATGTTTGGTCGGTCGGTCGGTTGGTCGGTCGGTTAGATGGTGGCTTGGTTGTCATGTTTGGTTGGTTGGTTAGTTGGTTGGTTTCTAAAGAGGACAACAGTAAACAGCTATGAATTACCGTTATTTTTAAGCAATACGATTAATGTGTGCAAGGTCGACACTTGGTGATATAGGGGAGAAATTTGGAAATTTGAAGTTGTGAGGCCGACAAATACCAAACTTGACCTATTTTGTCCTGGGGAGGAAGCTATTTTACAATGTATTACTTTTCCGCTATGTGACTTACATAGTTTTCACTGACCAATTCTTTTGGAACGATTCTCTGACGTTAACCAATCAAACCCCGTCTCCAGTGATGACGTGCCACACGTGGACCGCGGCGCGCTGAACTACACATCCCGGACTGTGGTCAGTCTCCTCAGTAACGTCACACGGCTACTGGAGGAGGTTTTCCCTGGAGTACCCGTCTATTCTTCTCTTGGTAATTATACAGATTTTAATGCTCTATCACTACCAGTAAAGCTGTTCCACTGTTTCTGTCATTCAAACAGTTTTTAATAGGAGAATAGCCTATACTGACAATTCAAACTCTGCTTTTTAATGAAATACGGAGAACACACCGCACTCAGTAAGACAGAGCCGGAGCCGCCTATGTAGTTCCTGCTTAGAACCAATATTCAGCCTGTCACTCTTCTTCAGCGTCAATAGAATGACGCTTGTGTCCTGTTGGCGATTATCATAAAGTCGAGCTCAACGTAGCCTTACCGTATATTTAGCTACAACAGTCGAGTCAACATAAATGTGACTAAAAGGAATGTATGGGCTTGAGAGTCAGAGGGAATGAGAGCTTGCTCTCTCAAACTAAGAACTGCTCCGAATGAGAGATCGACCTTTCTCGGTCTCTCCCGAAGGTAACCATGACTACTGGATCAAGAACCAGCTGCCCGACACGCCGAATGACGTGTACAATGACGTAGCGACGCTGTGGTTGTCGGGAGTGGGTCAGGATGCCATGGACACCTTCAGGAGAGGTAAGGATGCATGATATCGCACTAAGTTAACAGTCTCGCAGACAAGCTTAAGGCTGGCACTATAGTCACCTATTTGTAAGCCCAAGAAACATTGCGCACGCCGTTGATTATTCGCATGAAAAGTCATATGTATCATAATAATCATAATACATCATGACGAAAAGGCTCAACATAATTTTAGACCCACCCAAATTTCCGGCAAGGGGAGCGAAGGAGGATGTATATATTCTGGGATAACGTCCAACACTGAACAGAGACGGGGGGCGACACACAGGTTATCTGTCCCGGAAGCTGCAGTAGATTGGTCCATTCCGTGAACAAGGCTGACGAAAAAGATTTGGATAAGAGCCAATTCACTTAGTGTTGGACAGTTGGACATACATGTACGTCTAGTAATCTATGGCTAGTATACTTAGACTCGTGTCAGATCGACATTACCACTTTATAGCTATTAGGCCATGTTGATTTGATTGTATGGATGACATCCGCGCGCGCATGAAATTTCGGCCGTTTCCAAAAAAAAAAAAAAGTTTTCAACCATACTGTAAATCGTACAAAACAGTTGCAAAATAAGCAAATACATACCGTAAGTTGTAAAAAAAAAGATTGGAAAACATAACCAATGTCGTAGAATACCAAAATCAAGCGAAAAAGACGAAAATGTAAAGAAATGAATTTGAAGACTAGAATATTCGTCAAACCATACTCTGTGTCATTTGTTCAGCCTTCAAAACCACGTAGATTTCATACTGAAAGCAACTTTTTTTGGCCAAACTTTTTTTATTCGCACGCTCGCATCAGTTTTGGGGTTCCCAGAGGATGTCATCCATATAATCAAATCAACATGGCCTTACCAGAGAAAGTTGCTTCTTCTCAGGTGGTTACTACAGCGCCCTCTTGCGACGGGGGCTGCGTGTGATCGGCCTGAACACCAACCTGTGGTACGGGCGGAACCATGTCACGGAAGGGGGTGGGGATAGTTGTTATTTTCAGACGTTCACTGAGCGTTTTCCCGTTCTTGATGACGCGCAGGTGGTTACTACAGCGCCCCCTTGCGACGGGGGCTGCGCGTGATCGGGCTGAACACCAACCTGTGGTACGGACGGAACCAAGTGACGGAGGGGGAGGATGATCCCGCTGGGCAGTTCGCGTGGCTGGAGGAGACACTGCAGCAGGCCAGACAGAACGTAGAAAGGGTACATAAAATCCTGAATATTTTAGGGACGGAGGAAGAAATTCAGATTATGTACTCGTATAGAATATTAGTTCCGATATACGTATAGATTTAGATACTAGTATAGTCAGAACTGCCCTTGAGTCTATTAAAATTTGGTCTATATGGACAGGTCGTCGCTACAGAAAGAGGTCTTGATGTTTGTGACAAAACATATGTACTATGTAAAGGGAACAAAAAATGACCGCGTGGTCCTAAAGTAGAGGTGATCACCTGTAGCTGTACAGGTCTGACTATGATAAGGAACCCAGGTCCGGTTTTGATAGAAGTTTTGATAGCCTTAACTTTATCTTTGCCTAGTCCCATCCTCATGTCTGAGGGTCTAAGCCTTAACTGATCAACAGCATTTTGCAACAAGACAATTAGAAACACAAGTAGTTAACTATTAGTTCTATGCAGTGTTGTTGCATCCGATGAACGTGTCATAATTTGTAGTAGAGTACTCGCTTTCTAACCGATTAGTTCAAACGCCGGCCGGGTTATACCGAACACTTTAAAAATGGAACATACCGCTTACACTCTAGCATCTATGGGTATATATAGAATACAACACGGGGTATTCCGTATCGCCCGAGGTATCGGCCCGACCGCGGGTCGGATCGCCCGACGGCCGCAGGCCGGAGGGCGATCCGACTCGCGGGAGGGCCGGGACCGAGGGCGATGCGGAATACAACGTGTTGTATTTTATTTATGTCATACCCACCCAAGAAAACACGCCTTTCATTGCAAGATGAGCCAAAAGTTGGTGCCACTAAACCCTAAAATGCAACAACATCAATTCCAACGTCCGGATTCTGTATTCGAATTTTCGAAAGGGGCACACGCGGTTAGGACGAAACGCGTTCGAATCGTTTTATGGAAGCCATGGAAGCGTTCGATAACGGGTTCCGGACCGGGCCGTACCGTAACCGTACGGCCCGGTCTGGAACCCGTTATCGAACGTTATCGCGGCCCGGGTATGGTATAAAGTATAGTATAGTAAGGTCAAGCACACGACACTACCAGCACAACAACTGTGTGGCCCAAGGGCTACAGAAATTTAGATGGGCACTATCCCTATGATCCACACGGAGTGTAATGGATCTTTTTTGTATTATAATATATAGGTCTACATCATCGGTCACGTGGCCCCGGGTACCCACGAGCGGATCTACACAAAGCGCGACTTCCGGCCCAATCACAACAAACGGTACATCGGCATCGTCCGGAAGTACGCTGACGTCATATCCGGTCAGATGTTCGCGCACGAACACTACGATACTTTTAGGATGTTCTACGATGAGGAAGGTAATGATGACAACAACGTAATTTATGCTGGTATGCATCAAACCAAAATGATTCGCACACAATAAAGTTGACGAAAAGAATTTTGAATTTCTGAAATTTGGATGATTGGTTTCTCCTAGATCATATGGAAGTTTTAAAGCTGTAAAGAATATTTGATCTTAAAAGCTTATGAAAAGAAACCAATATGTACTCTCCAGGTAATGGTTTAGACGTGGGCTTTGTTTCAACGTGTTCTATGCGTTTTCGGGCATTCCTTTTTGTACTGGTACTAGTTTTTATCTCGGCCGCCTGAGCGGCCGAGGTATTGTGCTCCAAAATATGTACGTTGGATGGATAGATGTTGAAATCTTGATTTCGACCGTGAAAAAAAAACAAACAATGAAACCAATTACTCTGCCTGTATACTTTACTTTGTGGGGTCGAGCTACCGGATGATAGTGTCGTTATTCTTATACAACGAAGTTGCTAAAAAAGAGGAAATGCTGTTTACCACAAAACCATTGTTTAATATCATAGTATGCATTTAAGGTTCTAGAATTTCGCTAATAGCTGCGGTAATTGGACCAATAAATCAATGACATAAATTATGTACATTAACCTTCCATATTTGCTTAAGTCGCAAGATGTCGCTTTTGATTGGTGAATAAATCACTGTGACGCACGTAAATATTCACTTGAAATGAGAAATTACCGCCCAACAAAACGGACCATTAGATTCCCAGTGCTGTATTACTCTTTTGTTCTTGTGGTCAACTTGTTTTCTTTGCTTGAATCGCGTAAAAGACCAAGGAAAATACAATGAAATCGGCAAATATCGCCGAGCCGCGCCGATCTGCCGCCGCCATCTTGGATTTTTTTGGAAAGCTGCAATTTGGCCCAAACCGCTAGAGGGGGCGAATTAAAATGTTTAATATATTCGGTCTGAAGTTTTAGTAGCTCTAGCAGTAGAGGAGAAGTTTGATAATGCATAGAACGGATAAAATAGAATAAAATTAAATGAAATAAAATAAAACAGAATAAAAAATAAAATGAAAATAAATAAAAAATAAATAAAAATAAAAAATAAAATAAAATAGAAAATTAATTGTAGTGGTTACATATACTTAACGTTATATTGTATTTAGCAATGATCATTTAGCAAAAAAAATTACGGTACTGAAACTCCGGTATTCAGAATCAGGTACAGGTACAGGTCCGGACCTGGACCTGATCCTCTGGACCTGGAAGAGCCGAACAGGTACCCACCCCTATTGCTAGTGGTGTAATATGGCTGTAATGTCGACACTGTTTGTTGAGTACTAGTACAGTATATTTATATTCCTAATCAAAAGTAACAGTGAAAGATTTGCCCATACATTGGTATTGAAATAAAGAGCACATTTTAGTACCGTTCACCTGTCAATTTGGTCATTTTCCGGGGGTACGTTTATTCCGGTAGGGTATGTATATTAGACTTTGAAGATTTGTCCGGGGGTATGTTTATTCCGGGGGTATGTTATTAGGGACATGTAGAGTAGTATGCATTAAATGTTAT